TAACTAAACTATTCATATTCATATTCCTCTTATTATAAGCTTTATTTTGACCTATGAATGATTATTATACGATTTACCATTCTTGAGTTATACCCAGTCTATCAATTACTACCTCCCATATTCACAGCCACATTTGGCTAAATCTTGTACAAATGTTATTTCATATTTTATGGTACGGTTTGGTCTGTTTGGTTGGTATTTAAACCCAGTATATTTGAAATCCATGATTCATTCTGGACGTAACTGTCTAGGCTAGGCGGTAAGCAGGACCGATAAGTACTTCAGACTGTTCGTATGGCTTTTATGGGTCACTGGCCCGATCGATAATTCACCGCTCTCTGATTGGCGGCATCGTTATGTTATACAATAAACAATTACATCAAAGGGTTAATATCTAAACTGAAAACTGAACCTATAACTTAACAGTTTGGACATTAATGCGTTATCCAACTAGTTACTGCATCCAGATGATTATTATAATTTTTTAATCTGTATGACGTTTATTCACATTTGTTTTGATGATCTGATTGTTGATTGTTAGCATTATGATTGACCTATTTCTATTGAACTACAAGAATCTTGCTCAGTCGCCCTATTATTGTATCCAATCACAAGAATATTAAGATATTCAGGATGAGGATATTTGTAAAAAAGCTCAGGATGCACATTTGTCAACAACAACAACGACAAATTTACTTACACCTCGATTATCAACGACGAAAAATTTAATAAATTTGAACATTGTTTTACCATGATAGTCAATATACTATCTAGAGATAAGACTTTCATGTGTAATAGTCTGTAGTGATCTACTTTTATCAAGAGAACGCGATTGCTTTAATGGAAACAATTATTATTATAACCAATTGTACCAGTGATTAATCTACTGTACTTGTTTGTTTAACTGTACTAAAGACATTCTAGCTTCCGTTGATTGTGACCTTGCACGCACTTACGTTTGCTCAGTGGTCCCGCTTGTACCCTTTTGACACGATCTCGGTATTCTTTCTATACCACAAGATCGCCAACAAATATATCTCGCTACAACCTCCAATCGCCTTCTGATATCTGGTACGCAACCTTCTTGTAATGGTGATCATAGTCAACCGCTACTCGACGCCATACTACAAGTCAATGATATGTAATGTAATGTAATATAATGTATGTAATGTATGTAATGTAGTGTAAGTACCTATTTGATACTTACGAAATGTGTTCCTTGCAAACGAAAGTGTTTCATATGGATAACAAAAAATAATGATTTAAATTGATTGAAGTGAAATCGCGCAAATACCAAGCAAAGTATCGTTCAAATCAATGGAATAATACTAATAATATTATAATGTTGATTCATAGCTACCAATGAATATTTAAGATGGTTTCATGTGAAGGAATCAATTGCGATGGTATTGAAAAAGAGTTTATATTATGTGATTTACTCACATCCATTATAATTTTACAGACTGTCCTGATTCTCTTCAAAAAGCACTCACATTTTTCAGTATGGGTCTGGGAAGACTGTTGAATTCTATTGAAATCGCATACTGATCTAAGTTAGATAAGCAATGAAAATCTAGAAGTATCAAAACAACTATTTCCTGCAATATGGGACTCATAGTAAGTGCTGACACACTATCCAAATGGAGATTGTATTCAGAATATTTAGTTTCGCAGTGAACGTTAAACATCTTCATCACTTGACTAAGCTAGAATCCAATAATGTACAAGTCTTAGCAGTCTATAATATCATAATACTGTCTAGCTTAAATAGGTTCATAATAACATTAAAATCTCATTCTCGTATTGTGTTTATTTCATAAGATACTTATATTATGAATTATTTTGTTCTTTCTGATGACACAACACCAAATTTATACATTGCTTATAGATACTACTTGCATTGAAAAATCAATATGAGTTTTAAATTAACAAAAATAGTTTAACCCTAGTGATAATCCTTAACATTTTACACACACAAAAAAAAGTGACAATATCAAGGATATTTGCCCAGGATACAAATATCTTAATTGAAACTGATCGATTTCAACTGTTATAAGCAAAATTTATACCATTGGATTAGTTATTAGTTACCTGAACTTAGTAGTTTAGTGAATAATATACTGATATTTGGAGAGTGTTAGTTACTGGGTATGAAGTCTATGTGTAAATATCAACATAGAGACATAAATAAATCTAGTTGACAAATCTCAAGTATGATAAAGCTTAAATGTAAACACTTCAATAATTAATCTATATTTCTGTAATGTTTGCCAAATGGTAATCTCAAGTACGAGTTGTATTACAAGTGATTTACAACATCTTATAATTAACGAATGTATATCATTTGATAATCAGATCTAATCTATAAAACAAAAACCTGATAAATGAAGATAAATAATCATGGTTGTATAGGTATTCTCTTCATATTTCCATTTGAACTCTTGTAAATACATGTTTAATTTGTGATGATATAAGTTATATATCTTTTTTGCCTTGAGAATTTCCTATCAGTCAGTCAACCAGCTACAATCTAAGACCAGGCACATATATGCATCGGTCCAAGTTGCTATACCGCATTAGCACCGACCGTTGTTGCTACCTTGATGTGGTGATCGGGCCTGCCTATCGTGATGAAGCAACCGAGCTATACTGGCTATAACATCCGTTCCTCAAGGTCCTACGATGCTAGACAGGTCAGTTAAAGAGTGGTAAGACTATAAGCAACAAACCCAAGGTTCGCAGGCGAAGTTGTACTGCTGATTGCACAGATGTGTGATGACAGTAAGGTATTTCCTTCAGGCAACCAGCATGACAGTGATACTGCCTTCTCGCAAGGAGGGGTGAGGTTAGAAAAGGTCGATCCTAAAACTGCAAATCTCGTTTTATTCAACGGATATCCATCTCCGGCAGTATGGTCTCAACAAGTATGGAGCTAACACGAAAATTGATCACAAAAATGTCATGTGTGACCGACATCCAGCAGTTGTCCCTTAGGCACTGCGGTCACTCTCTCAAGTCACTAAGACCACCTTTAAACCAATCTCCTTTTCAGGTATCTCCATAAGAACCCTTCCACGGTGTGGGCAACCGAGAAGTGATAACCGCCGTCATACCTCTAACAGCACTTACGACCTCTGTATTCCTAGAATTCACTGTAGTCATGAATGGAAAGAAAATGATCATCAGAATGATATCTTTTTCACTGCTACACAACAAGAACTAAGGACGAAATGGCCGTCCAGTGTTTCCAGGTTTTCCATGGTGGTCTAGCTTCAACTGACTCATGATTTCAATCTGTGAAATTTCTAAAATCTCCACAAACCCCTTCTGATAAAAAATTTTGTGTTAATATCCAGAATTGTTTAAGCAATAATGAGATTTAGGATAAGAGTGAATCATTTTGTTATTTTAAGCAATGAATACTTGTATTCACTTGGTATCGTTTACTTGTATCTTCCCATTGTTACTTAGGTCTACAAGAATCCAGAATGCACGTTTCGTTTTATTTAGGACTCGTCAGCTAGATTTATCTGCATTTCAGAGTTGATATTCATTCTGGATTCCACTACTAGCCACTATCCATCTTTGCTTATAATGAATACTTGATTTAAGCCTCTGTGTATTATGTATTTAGTAGATAAGTTACAAATGAAATCAAATGAGTAGTATAAATTTCTCTATTTACTATCATTCAAAAATGAATTTTGTATATTTTTTCAGAAATAAAAACAACTTACATGTTGAGACTATGATTTATGGATGACCTTTGAGTGACTCTAAAGAGATCTTAAGAATGTCCACCAACTTATTACGGCTAAAATGATGGTTAAAAATCAGTATGAGAAATTGTTAGGATTAGGAATCAGATTTAGGGTTTTCATCACGAACGAACATTAGTTCTAATGCCAAAACTCTATTTAATCAAATGAATGAATGAATTTCGCGCCAAAATTCAAGACCTTTTATCTTAAATCTGATTGGTTCGTCCATAAATTACAGTCTTGACATCTATTTTAGTCAATTTAGTTACAATTGTTCAACTACTGAACAAAGATCAATGTTACATGTTGATTCTATTCATTCACTGGACGGCCATTTCGTCCTTAGTTCTTGTTGTGTAGCAGTGAAAAAGATATCATTCTGATGATCATTTTCTTTCCATTCATGACTACAGTGAATTCTAGGAATACAGAGGTCGTAAGTGCTGTTAGAGGTATGACGGCGGTTATCACTTCTCGGTTGCCCACACCGTGGAAGGGTTTTTATGGAGATACCTGAAAAAGGAAATTGGATTAGAGGTGTTCTTTGTGACATGAGAGCATGACCTCACTGCTCAAGGGACAACTGCGTGAGGTCGGTCACACACGACCTTTCTGTAAGTAACTGTCGTGTTAGCTCCATACTTGTTGAGACCTTTTTCTTATCACTCAGTGGTCAGTCATACTATGATGTGTGCTACTAATATCGACAGATATAAGTAGTATGTATCATTAATAGGATGTGAAAAGCTTGTAGGTAGAACGTTAAGAAGATCGAAAAAACCAGAACAACAACAAACAATGATTGATGTGGAAACGAAGTAACAACTCGGTCTGAGACAATTGATTGATATTTTACAGTGAGACTATAATTTATGGACGTGCAAGATAACAGGTCTCACATTTTGGCGCAAAATTCACTCATCCATTTGGAAAACCATCAACTGTAAATCATTATTCTAATTTCACACACACGTTTATAACCCTCATTTAGTCCTAGTTATTAAGTGGACACTCTCAAGGTCAGTCTGGAGTCGCTCAAAGGTCATTCATAAATTATAGGGCCCCTCGGTCGATTATCCTCACTTATATTCTCATTCATTACAACCATAAAATGTAATCCATTCTTGTAACGAAACACAAAAACCGGTATCACTTCAGGAAGAAACGAATCAAAAAACCGCCTGAGATTTCAAATGACCTAACAACAACAATCAACAACCATCAATCCATAAAACTTACATAAATATTGTCGAAATCCAGTTAATGTTAATAAAATTAATAATAATACACTTGTATATTGATAATTCATTCGATCAATTAGATCATCATCTCCATGGAATTGATTCGAACCAATACGTGCCCATTTTAATAAAGTTAATAATATCGTTGGATCATTATCAATTTTTCTTGTAGATCTTGTTAAACCAGGATTATTCATTAATGATGAATGATTGAATGGTGTGATTCCAGTTAAATCATAATCAATATCATAATATGTATGATATAAATATGGATTATGTAATAGATTATGATCATAATACAAATCATTTAATAATAAATCATCATTTAATAATTGATTACTATTATTAGTAGTATTATTATTAATATTAGTAGTATTATTAGTATTATCATGAATTAAACATTGGGTTAAGATTTTCTCTTCTTCATTATATAATTGTGTTTCTATAGGACAATCATTTGTAGAATTCGATGATATTGATTTATCATTATGATGATGATGATGATGATGATTTATTGATTTTATAGTCAATTGATCAATATTTGATGAATCAATTATTGATTCTATCATTGGATTTATTGAATAAGATAAACAATCATTATTGATGATATGTGTAGATGGTTTAATTAATAGATGAGATGATGAATCTTTAAGTAATTCTAATGAACATTGTGATGGAATAGCCATCATTTATGATATAGAGAATAATCACAACAACAACAACAACAACAACAAAAAATAGGGAAGGGGAAACTAGGAGGGGAGAAGGAAACACTAGATTACCATAATTGATAAACTCTTAAATATGTAATCAACTAATTACACAATGATGAGAGTAATATATATATAATGAAATATAATAATAATAATAATGGTATTATTATTATTAACCAATCAAAATTCAACGAGGAGGGGAATAAATGATAATTCAACCAATCAAATAATCATCATCAACAACAACAACAACAACAACAAATATTCATATTTAGTTTAATCATAAATGATAATGATAATAAATCAATTAATTCTTGTACTGATATTACTTTTTAATTATTTTATTGAATAATTTAATCTATAAAACGTTTTCTGATATAAATCAATATATACTCACTTAGTAATTGACTTCAAGAGATATTTCTTGGAGTTTGAGTATGAAGCAATGACTAGTGGAGTTCAACTGGATCTATTGTGGGATAGTAATTCACTGAAGATAGTGGTGAATGTATCGTTCAATGTTATGGAATAGTTGAAGTTCCATTCACGAAATAGGGTTAGACAGGGTTGCTCAATTTCATCATTCCTCTTCAACTTTGCCATCGATGACATTCTAGAAACAGCTCTGATGGATGTAAGTAATGGCGATGTGAATCTATTGCCTGGAGAAAGACTTCTCGACCTTGAGTATGCGGATGATATTGTCTTACTGTGCGATAATACCCGAGCCATGCAATCCGCATTTAAGCAGTTGGTAATCAGTGTCTGTATGTATGTTATATACTTTGCACCTTCGAAGTGCAAAGTACTTCTACAAGACTGGCAGCTTTCTAATCCTGTACTCATCATGTGTGATGAGCATATAGAATTAGTCAAGAAGTTTGTGTATCTAGGTAGCTGCATAAGTGCTGACGGTGGCGTGAGTGGTGAAATCGATTCACGTATAATGAAAGCCAGAGCGGCTTATGCCAATATGGGCCATCTTTGGCCGTGAAAGGTTGAATCTACAGCGCGTCGGTGAGAGCAGTTCTGTTCTATGCTTGTGAAACCTGGCCTCTCCGAGTTGAGGATGTTAGACAACTCTCTGTGTTCGATCATCGTTGTCTCCGAAGGACTGCTGACATACAGTGGCAACACCATGTCATACGAAAAATATTTTACAGATCTTTTATAGTTTCTTCTGTGTAATTTATTTGTTTGATGTAAGAATATACTCTATTGTGGTGTTTGAATAAACAAATGACTCTTTTGTACTTGTTGAATGCTTGATTCCGAATACCAAATGCAGTACACTCGTTCGTGCTTATCTAGTACTTCTTGATCCAATTGCGTTATTTCTGAGATTCCTAGTTGATACTATAATTCAAATACTCCTAATGATCATATCTATCGAAGCTTGCTATATATACTTTAGGTACAACACGAATAATTCAATGATCAGAACTAAATAAAGAAGTATATTTACCAGTCACATATACTCCCACATCGTCAATGAAAATTAAGTCTAAATATGTGAGAAAATTGACTATATTTTGGTGATCTAATGATAAAAGAAAGCTATATTCATATGAACTAAAAACACTACATATCATTAAAAAGGAGTTATTAAAGGCGGTACACCGAATTCAATGAATTCCTCGACAAAAACAAATGCTGTGGATTAGGTACAATGTAGAGTCGCTTAAATGTTGATAACATGACTACAATTGATCAATCTTTCATAGAATGTATATATTACGAACAACAGACAAAATCAATTCTAATTCTAAACAACATTAAGAAGATACAAACAAACAATACCAAATGATGGATAGTGGCTAGTAGCGGAATCCAGGACGCGCGTTTCCTCCCATTTGCGACTCGTCAGCTGGATGTACCTGCATCTCAAAGTCGATGTTTACTCTGGGACTCAAACCCAGTACCATTCGCTTCAAAAACCATCGCGTTATCCACTTAGCTACTGAGTCCTGATAGCCACTTGCTTGTGCAATGGGGTGAATTTAAATTCACTTGGTATTGTTTGGCTTGTATCTTCCCATTGAGGTAAAAGACTACAATCGATCAGTCTTATACCTCAATGGGAAGATACAAGCCAAACAATACCAAGTGAATATCAAATGAATTTAAAATTAATCAACTGAATTGTAATAAATAGTCCATATCCTATTTAAGTAGATAACATAGAAACTACCATTTAAACAAATGAGTTGACTTTCAAAGTTAAAAGCAAAAAAAAAGAGAAAAAAGAAAAGAAGAAAAACTGACCAGTTTTATTTTTTTTCGTTCTGAAAAATTATGTTAAACATTTATAAATTTGAATTTAATTTATTTGTTCTTCCTCTCCCCACCCCGTCGAAAAAAAAAGAGAATAAAATAAACTAACACCATTCCCAGCTTGTGATGTATGTACTTGTATCTATGGCCATTGTGTAGATATATATTCTGTTGTCATAATTGGGATACTAGACATGTGCATAGAAACTAAATTCATCAACAAAAAAGAGTTTTTTTTTTCTCTAGTTGATGAGAAAAACGCAACATTTACAATGTTAATAATGACAAATTTATTCATTCTTATAGATAAATATTAAATATTTGAAATGAAAACTAACTCATTTTTAAATCAATACAGTTTGTAGTGACTTAGTTACATGAATTAATCAATCAATCACTCTTTATAACTATGATTATTATTGATTCCCAATAGTGTTTGTAATCATTAGACAATAAGAAGCGGTGACTATAGTTTATTAGCGGATAGTACAGATAACAAAAGCTATAAGTATGTCGAGTGAATCGAAGCAGAGAGGTAAATATGTGTGAGTGAGCGAATTTCTAGTCAAATTGAATCAAGATTCAGATAGGTAAGGAAAAGCCTATTAATAGGATTTGAGTACATATATATATGTGGGAAAGAGAATGAATCATCGAGAGATATTTAAGAGATTAACAATTTAGCTGGAGAGAGATTAAGAGTACATTTTTATATAGACAAGTTAATAATAATAATGGTACAAAGAATTATGTGAATTGTTACTGTTCGAATAACATTGTAGGCGAGACTCTAATTTATGGACGAACTTTGAACGGATCTTAGGCGGCCTTGAGAAATATTATCCAATCAGCAAACAGTCAGTATAGAGTAAAAATATATTACACAAAATCAAGGAAATAAAGTGGATACACTTCTTAGACGTGGTTCAAAAACTTGTCAAGATTAGAAAGAAGTTCAGACGTCCTAATGCATGCAGTAGAGGAAATCATCCATACGGCTGCAGAATAGTCGGCCTCTGGAGCCATGATAAAGTCTCAAATACACTTCAGCCTCGACTAGACAGCTTCAATATTGTTTATGTGCACTCCGGTTGTTGAGTACACAAAATGCTACTTGTGGATAACGACACGATGCACATAACCAAGCCTATGTAGGAGACTGTACTCTCTCCAGTCATCCCTAAATATTGTAGTACCTGGCTGCAGTCAGTGTTAATGGTGCTTTTATTATCCAGTTCGCAATAATTGTCGTAATTTGCCCTAGTTACGAATTATATATGGAGTTTTCATCATGAACTGACATCAGCTATAATGCCAGTAATTTATTTAGCCAAATGGCTGAAAGGCCTTCGCGTTAAAATCCGAGATCTATTATCTCATACCTGATTGTTTCGTCCACAAATTATAGTCCCGCCGTTTAATTTGTTATAGCCGCTCAATTATCACGTTTTGTACAAAATTCCCTGTGAAACGATCGTACGTTAGCATTAAGCACTAAAATTGGCGCCGTAACCTTGAAATCTCTAAAGTGCTCCTGGTTGGCTCGTCCATAAATTGGAGTCTCGCCACATTGTATGTTAAGTAAGTTAATAAAAGGGCTTAACAAAAATTTAACCATAAACATAAATGATTCTAGAAGAGTTGTTATAATCTTTCCAACTGACTAAGGAAAATTATTGAGAGATTGTATTGGCAACACTAAGATTTATGGATGAACCAATCAGATTTAAGATAACAGGTCTTGGATATTAACGTGAAATTCACCTATCCACTTGGCTAAATAATGTCTTGGCATTAAGGCTGCTATCAGTTCATGATGAAAACTCTAATTCTAATCTTTATCCCTAACTATCAACCATAAATCACAATCTTTATCATTCACGCGGGTTTAAAACCCTTATTTAGCCCTAGTCAGTACGTGGACATTCTCAAGTCCACTTTAGCGTCATTCAAAGGTCGTTCGAAAATTATACTCTCACCCATTCTATCAAAAAGATAATAGAATTATCTAATAGATTGATAACAAATAATCTAATTTAATACTGTCAATAAGAATCTTTGTTGAAATATGAAAATCTTGAAACTGAAAAGAAAAACATTGTTCACTTGGGAATAATTTGAATTAGGCAATCAGTTGTCTCATTGAAAAAGTTAATTATACGATTAAATTATGGCTAAAAGTAGAATATGAGACATGCTCTTCATCAGCAACAACTTCATCGATCTATCTGTAATATCATCTCACTAGTCTAAGTAATTTTATATACTAAAATGATCAGTCACTTATAAATATCTCAATCTTGATAGAAGGTGAGTCACTGCCCAAAGACTTTACTGATCACATCCTGGACTGTAAAGTTAGGTGACATTGAATGGAATCCGCTAAGGCGAGCATCCTCAAGATTACAGGTACAACTTTGTAATGAGTGTCCAATGGCTCAAAACCTTCATTCAAAGTATCCTATCAACTATCTCCAACCAGCTATAGTGATATTCATTAACTGACATTTAGTTTATATTTAAACAGTAAATTGACTAGATTATTTAGATTTTAATTAGATTTTACTTCATTATACAATAATACTTATGTGTATAAATGTTCGTTGATCTTCCTCCACCTTACTTGTTCAGTATCCATGCATTTGTATTGATTATTCGCACAAATATATTATTATGTTTGACTTCTGATTAGACAATAGCAT